AGTAGAACTTGAATTATTTAGGAAAATGCTGTTTTAAAATGTAAAAAAATTTCCACCAGATAAATTTTTTTCAAATTTTCTTTAGAAATGCGTAATGATGTAAATAATTTGTATACAAAAAATCAGGGTAGGTCACCGAACTAATTTTCAAGATATTAGTTCATCAACTTAGCATGGTTTATTTCTGGTTTTTGCAATTCCAGCTTACACTTTTATATCCGGTCAGGCGTTTTTAACTATACCGCTGACTCACAGGCTCATTTTCGCGAGGACGAGTTCGCATCCGCGCGATTAATCGATGGGGACAACAGTCATGAGTATACCAGCTTTCTTACAAACACAGAACAAAGTTTATTTGAAGATATGGCAAAGAATTTTCTTGAGTCTGGATTTTTTTACTGTGAACTTCGGAACAGTGTACCTCGGAACAGTGTACCTCGGAACAGTGTACCTCTTGCACTTTGTAATGTACTTAAATGTCCCATTGTGCTATTTACATCAGTCATTGATTGCCCAAAACTTCCACTTGTACCACAGATAGAAATATTATCAACCATCCCTATTCATGCAGCATATATTCGATCAGGAAGTGGACATTATGATGCTGTAGCTTCATGCAAACAATGGACAAAAGGACAGTCTCTGTAATTCAGAAAAAATGCAAACAGAAAATGCGATTTTTTTTTTCATTGCGAATCCTCGAAAATATTCTATTTTGATTCCATTTTTCGTTCTTTTTCTCTTCGCACCCAAAATCATGTGGTCTTAAAAACGAAAATGATAGTAACGTTTCGGATCACTGCAGACTGGTAACGATAAAAGCAAATTAGATACCAGGCTTTTGGTCAGTGTTTGGTGGATGGCCTTCAGAACATGCGTAATTTTTCTGCGTTTTTCTGTCCAACGGAGGTCAAGCGCGAGTTGGCTCGAGTCTCCATTCGCCAGTAAAACGCAAAAAATCACGCCTGTCCTGTAGGCTATTTCTTAGATGAAATCGGATCACTGAAAACGGAAGCCATAGCTGAGAACGAAAGGGCTCATAATTAATAGAGAAGTGTGCTTCGGAACTATGTGACATATATTTCCGCTACCGAAAAAAAAAACATTGTCTTTTTACCACATTGTTAGTCTAAAGAGGAACTTAACAGATCAATTATGGACGCCATCAGTTAACCTTTTAACTCCCAGAAGTGATTAACAAGTAACTTCTCCCTATATTATTTATACATTATCCTTCAAACTGGAAATGAGAATACCCATTACCACTTATCAGGTAAAAGAAGAATGCCTTTCTGTGGGGCTCTAGCCTGCGTGGCGGTCTTGTCTTTGGTCAAGCAGGAATCCCGCAATGAGGCGAGAGCAAAGACAAAATAAATCAGGATCATGCCCTTGTGTGATTTCCGCCTTACTCACGCTCATTCCGTGAGAGAAAGCCGGAGAGAGCTAAAAATGGATTAAAAACACTGTGACGTTGGTGTTGTAAATCGGAGCGTCTCATTGGGTTTAGGGCTTTTATACGGCTAATTTTGGTCATTTAATGGCTGACGGTTAATTTCTTTAAGGTTAAGAAACTCTTCTGAAATGTTAATTATTATTGTTCTAAAACACATTTACTCACTCACTTTTACCATCAGAGTCCAGCAGTGGGGTATGACATAAGGTCACACCGTGAGTTTTCGCACTCAGTCCTTCCCGTTTGACGCTTATAGGTTTCAAATCGCTATTGTTCACCATGCATCGTACATAATAAGAAGCATAGCGATGGTGGTAAAAATTCGTAATCTCAAAGTGTTTTGGTCACTTCTCGTCGTGTGATCGAATTGAACTCACGATGCTGCTACTTTACAATGGTTCACGGCAAAATGGGTTTGCTAATGAAATGTTCAGCTTTTGACTCTCCAAGTCACCACAACGACGGTAAAAAATCTTCAAACCACCTCTGATTTTTTGCTTTAGGTTAGGTGACGGTTTTCGCTTTTATTTACGCCTGAAGGTGATCCTGACCCTACTCTATGAATTTTTTTAAACTATGCAGGAATTCCCGCCTCGATATGTTGATTGATTTCTTTTGATAAAGTAGCATAACCAAAATAGACTTCGAGAAAGCTTCGCGCAAAAATCAGGCGTTTCCCAGAGGATGTGTCAGTATTATGGTAACTTTTCTGTTCTGTCATGGCAAATTGTCACCTCGGCTAACAGGGTTACACTACCCGGCAGACTGGGTAACCCGACTACCATGTGCGTCAAAATTACCGGTGTAACACTCCACTGCTGCTGCAGGCGTAACACTCCACTACTGCTGATGGTGTAACACTCTGCTGTTGCTGCTGTTGTAACACTCCACTACTGCTGGTGTAACACTTCACTGCTGATGCTAGTGTAACATTTCACTCGTAACTTCTTCCGCATCTTCATTTTTTGAAAAAATGACACAGGTCTTTCCTATTTGTCCATGAACTATAACCCTTTACGGCTTTATAAAGTTCTGTGACGAGATACGGAAAGCGCTTAAGAACAATAAAATTATGTAAAAGGTCTTTTCTGTTTTTCGGTGAAAGGTCATAAGCGTGGCAGTGCGAATTTCGGATAAACCGTACAAGTTCAACAGCAGATCGGGTATTGTACCGTCGTTCGGGGTGTCTAGATGTAACATTATCATAAATATGTCTGATTTTATCTACCCAATCAATGGAGGTTGCGCGAAAATGACTATGGCAAAGCATTTCGAGATCTCCTTCCACTCCACTTAATTGACGTACCAGAATTCTTGGCTTTTCAAATTCTTTCTGATTTCCTACTAATTTCAGAAAGTCCACTTTCGTACGATCAGACCAGAAGAAAGGAAATTTCAGTAAGGAGGAAGCTGCTGGTCGTCTTTCTGGATCTTCTGAAAGCATTTCCGTTATGAGGTAGACGGCCTCTGAAGAAAGAGAGGAGCACCAACATATTTTGTTCCTTTGAATGCTTTTCTCTATTTCTTGAAAATTTGACATTAGCAACTCATCAGAGCTGTAAAAAGGATGCTTCTTTCCCGTACCGACATAGTAATAAAGAAGACCACAGCTGTAAATGTCGGTGGCTTTACTGTGCTCTTTAGTGTTCTCTACCAAAAGCTCAGGGGCCATCCAACGACGCGTTCCCGCCTTTGAATGCATTACAGATTCGCTGCCACTCTTTTGCTGCAGGAATTTACTGAGTCCAAAATCACTAATTTTTACAATAAAATGTGGCTTTCTCCGATACAAAATGTTTTGAAGTTTAAGATCCCTGTGGAGAACATCGCTTTGGTGTAAAAATTCCAAGCCACCAGCAATCTGTGAGCAGATTGTGGAGGCCTGACTGCATTCTTCATTGTAACTGAGATATTTGTCTAAAGAACCCTCCATCGGTTCTACAACTATGTATTCAAAGTTGGAATCTCTTGTGCAAGCGATGTAATTAACAACATAAGAACAACTTGTCAATTTTAAGAGGCACCTTACTTCTCTCTGTAGCATATCTCCCCTCTTCTCTAGTCTTGCCTTTTCTAGACGTTTCAGTGCTACCTCTCGGCCATCCCTTCCATCGACAGCAGGAAACACGCAAGAAAATGTACCTTTTCCAATTGGTTTATTGTAATAATGATAATTTTCAACTTTTTGAGAATTCTCACCACGCACCGCCTCCGACAGTGCATCCTTATGTTGGATAGATTCAGAAATCCATTTAATCTTTTTGCGAAAGGTTTGAAATTTAGATAGCAAATCCTTGCAAGTATTCCCACGAACATCATAGAGGGTCTCATCAGCATTGTATTTTCGAAGAAGTTGAATGAAATTGATTGCTTCTTTGGAAATCGAGGGTCCCGCCTCACTTATGTTGCTACATAGCAAGTGCAGAGGTGTTTGTCTGCACTCATTTTGCGCATTAACGTTACATCCATTGTCAAGCAAATAGTCACAGATTTCTAGGACTCTTTCATTGTTAACAATACATAACATATGAAGAAGAGAGTTTCCACGCTGATCTCTGTAACGCCTCGCAGATTCAGCCATGTCCCGATTTTTGTCGTTTTCGAAAACTGCCTTAAGAAGAGTGAGTGCACTTCCAAAAGACTCGTTTTCTACAAGGACTTCAAATGGGCTCTTTCCATCACAATCTGCAATCCAAGGATTCATTCCCAAGGCTAGAATTTGACTAAATTGATCGGATTCGACCAAGTCTTCCAGCAAAGACGGTTCCCTCAATCAATACGTGGAAAGGCGTATCTCCCTTGTCGTTTCTTGAATTGGCAGCTCCACCATGGGAAACGATTTCAATCCCAATTTTAATCGTTTCATCACTGACTGCCACGCGCATTAGGTTTGCCCACATATGTAAAGCAGTGTTCCCTTCCGTATCTCTGGAGTTGATTTCAAATCCTTTCAAGGTGGAAGTGCCATTGCAAACTATCTGGAACCCCTCTGATACTCCCAAATATTTCTTTTGTAAAAGGAATAGGAGAAAATGCAGAAGAGACCTGTCCTTTTCGTCTTTAACATTAGGTCTCGCCTTAGCCTCCAAGAGAATACGCCAGATTTCAATAACTTGAATCCCGGAAGCATCGCAAGATATGGGGAAAAGAGCATCATGAAGATCACATCGGCTACATCGGAAGGACAAACTATACGGAAGAGGAGTTTCACTTAAGTCGTTCCTGGAGTTAATGTTGGCTCCGTTTTGAAGCAGGAGATAAACAAACACGTTCCAACTCTTAGGTGAAGCACTTTGCAGCGCTTTTTCTATAGCGTGAAAAAGACAAGTGCGTCCTTGCTGATCTTTTTCGTCAACTTGGGCTCCTTCTTGAATGAAAAATTTTGCTAGTTGTACATTTGGCATGGAGAACATTAGGTATGGAAATCCATCAATTTTCCCCTTAATTGAACTCCCAGTTTCTTTGAACAAAGTCTGCATTGCCTCAGAAATTTCTTTTTCATTCCAGCAAAAAAAAGCACGACGAGAGTCCTGCACATTCTTCCAAATGCTGTAGAAAGCTTTTAAGAAGTTCTTTCGTATAGTCTATGTCGAATTCCCTCAGGAATATCTGAAGAAGTTCTATCAAACTGCAATCCTGATGATCGTGCAAATTCCTTATTACTTGTAATGTATCTTTATCCGAAGTTAAGATTTCGATAGGGTGGTCGAAACTTCTGATACCATGTTGTGGCAAAAAACAGAGCTGAATGAGCCTTGAGGGACTTATGCTTTTGATAAAGTGGATTTTCTCTTTAAACAGGTCTATGATATCGCAGCGGTGGAGCACGATTGCAAGCTCTAGCGAAGTTTGAAACTGATAATCACTGTTGATGTAGGTGTTTTCATCAGATGAAAAACCAATATTTTCTTCATAAGCAAGGATTTCCTCTACCAGTTCTTTGCTTCCAATCAAAACTGCACTATGAAGAATAGACCAGCCACCTACTTTTAACGGAAACGAGTGACCTGAACTGAGCATGCCACTAATTCCTTCAGCGGGATTGGAGGAAATTAAAATGAAAGAAGGATCTAGGTAGCCTACTACTTGATAATTGCGAGCGTTGGTGAGATGGGACCTAGACGACCTCCAACATCCCGTGAGATCCACCTGCTGGAGAAGAGGACAAAACCAAAGTAGAAGATCCAGAACTCCAAATGGCCAGAATTCGTCCTCCACGATACTATTTCTGAGAAAAATGATGCGAGCATTCCTTGTTTCTTGCTTCTTGGCACTTGATTACTAAGCTTCGATAAGAAGATATAGAAGAGTTCGAAATATCAAGATCGTTTTCCTCGTGAAGCCGATAAGGGGAGACATAAAAGGTAGCATACACTCGGGATTCTATTAGCACAAAATACTTGGAATCGTTCTCGATAAAATCTTCCACACCGTGTGATCCCAGCTCGGTTTCTTTCACCTTATCATGTAAAGTGCTAAAATTGCAACCTGTCCTGTCAAATACTTCTATTTCCAGACATTCGACCTCCATTGACTGTTCACCGAATACTTTAAAGATGTACAACAACAATTGATCAAGTATTATGATGGACTGGCAACCGATTTCCTGAGAAAGAATGAAAAAAATAATAAGAAAAAGTATCAGCTTTGAGAGACGTGTTTGCTGAGATCAATTGCAAAGTGCACACCTGGTTGTTACAACATTCGCGAACGAGCAAGTGTACGAGTGAGTGACAGATATGGCATCAACAACGATATCATTTATCACGCTCTTGACACGTGAAATTTTTTCAATTGCATATACCTCAAAACGGGATCTGAACGATTACTACCCACTTATCAATTTTTGCGCGATTCTATTGGCTACTTTGGGTCACGTGGTACGTTTACGTCGATCTTTGTCCTTCAATTATTTCTGTAGAAAAGAAACAAAGCCAGAGGAAAAAGCCACCTCAGAATTAAGTTTCACTTTTTCAACTCTCTCACTTTACGTGGGAGAAAAACGAACTCGTTTTGTGGAGTCCACTGCTGGTGGAATCGCTGTCACCGCAGTATACGAAAATCAATTGGAGGGTTATAAAACAGATAAAACCCCTTCTGGCTTGTTGGTATTTCGGCTGACAATGACCTTAGCTGAGAGATTGTCCTCAAAATTTCCCATTTGCCCTCGAAACTTTGCTTCTCGGCCCAATGCTCATTTTTTTTTAGATAATACCTCAGCCGCGGAAATTATCAGCCGACAAATATACCAGACACCTGTATAGGTATACTTAATAAATATCTTAGGAATAAAAAGAGAGCCACTCGGCCGAGTAGGTGGAAAAAATCGGTTTTCTTGCTTATGGTTTTCTACAAAGTCAATGGCGATTTTGAATTTCGTCAGTTGTCACGCGACACGTACGAAACTTGCATCCCGTGCATTCAGGTCTTATCTAGATGCATCCTCACTCTATACATCATAAGGGATTGAGCTACGGTAAGCTATTATTGGATGAGGTTGATTATTTTTTGAAAAACAATCTCTAGGGAAAGAGCTCTCTAAGTTTGCAATAGTTTTAGAAAAATTACACAGACGAGGCGCTTGGAAACTAGGCAGACTTAACACTCGATATGATAACTGCAAAATCAACTGCAGATATTGGGTTATCATGTCAACTTGTTCATTGATTGAATGCTCTCGACCAATCAGATTTTTGGTAGTACGTCTACTAAATGTATAACAAAACGCAACAGTAACTATTGTAGAATCTTCGAATCTACGTATACTTACTATTTCTTCGTCGGAGCTAAAAAAGTAATGCTCACTTTCAGCTTCATCTGCAATCAAAACATTTTATCTTTAAGTTAAAAATGTAATGCAAACGGCATCATCAGAAATGGGTGTGGTTCATCAGTATTCGTCATTTATCACACGACAGAGTTATTGTCGTAGTAGATAAACTGACGCTTTCAGCATTGATATCGGAAGACCGAAGAAAGACAGAATCAAGGGCCATGGTTCGATTGGTTCAAAGATACAGTCCTCTGCCGTTTAAAGGTACGTCCTCTGTCAACAGCACACGCGGCTCATTCTGAACTGAATGAAGTTGTAGTTTTATGTGGAATTTAGGGAATGACCGGTAATATTCCCCAAATGATATTACCCAATATTATACCCCAGGTCCAAAAAGATTCAAGTCTCCACTTTAGATTTAATGTAAGATGAGAGAGCGTTTTGCTGTTGTCACAGAGAAAGGGACATATTTGTTAGTTCATAAAGTCGTACCAGAGAAACATCCCAGGCTGCAAATGGTAACCTGTTCGTAAAGATTTCTTTTTTGGCGTGGATAATAAGGATAATAAGCACAGTAGCCTCCACTCCTCGCGAAAAATATACTGTTATAATTGCCCTTGGACAAAATTTGTTCCTCGCACCTCGCAGCCCTACTCGAACTTCGTTCGCAACAGATGATGTCCGGAGACAAATATGCGAGCTTATTTTTGCGCCAAATGGAAGCTATCGTTTGTATAGACTACACGCTTTTTAAAGCACTTACAGGATTCATGGTTAGATGGCCAGACAGAGTTGGAGGCGATGCTTGGATGAAACCAATCAATGTCGCGGTCAATGTCACGGTGAAAGGCCTCGTCGTTATCGAAAATGTCTAAAGGTAGAAAAAGAAGAAACACTGAAATTGCAAATATTCGGGAGAAAATGGTAATATGAAATGTAAATTTTGGCATTGTAAACGAAGCTTAGTTTTCAGTAAAGTACTTTAAATATCCAGAGCTCTTTCTTTTCAAAATTATTTTCAAAACAAGTTTGGATCACTCCCTTGTTGATAATCCTAAAGCAGATGGAAGAGAAGAAAGAAGAGAAAAAAGAGACTTATCGAGCCCTTCGAAAAATCGAGCTTTTTCTGTATCTTGTAATCAACTCCACAAGTTGTATTTTCACTGGAATTTTCATCCTCTGAACATGTTTCACAGGATACATTCATGACATAAATCAAGACTGAGATTGCAAAAAGAGAGAGTTTGAGACAAGAAAGTGATAAACAAGGTCGATTGATTTATCCTGCGACACTCTTATGTCTGTGAAGTAAATTTCGGTATGGCGTATGAGTGTTTTAGGTGGGGAATGCAATGTGTGTTCTTTGCGCACAATAATCCCATCGATCTCCTCGGTCTAAATATGGCGTTGGAATACGACATCTGGCGTAGGGGATTTTACTAAAACCTCTATTAACTGAATTATGTGTATGGCATCAATTGACAGAGATAACCTACAGAGTGCAGTAAAGAAGAAGATGGCAGCGATGGATGAAGAGTTTTTCCTTGTATGTAGACAGAAAGAACCTGATCATGGTAGCAGACAAAGATGACAACAAAGTCTTCAGAAGAGCTCTAAATACTTCAGTCTTCATTCGTTATATTCGAAACGTTGACCGACACGGGTGGAATCAAAGATTATGACAAAGAAGTGAAAGCCCTACATGATTACTTTATTCCGAAGATAAATTAGAGTTGTCAGCAACAAATCTTTCGACTAAATTATGGAACAACGCTATGGTGAAACCAAGGCTCAATGCGTAACGAAATGAAGGGAAGTCGTTAAAGATTTTGATTATGATGATCACGCAGAGAACCAGATACGAGATAAGTTGTCCAGCGCTACAATTCACATGAATCGAGGAGATAATTGCTCGAAAAAGGAGCTCTTACATTCCACGGCTGCAAACCACGAAAGGGGTTTAATCGCAGATGAAGAGTATGGCAAGTGAAAGAAAAAATTGTGAACTTAGTTCGTAATGAGCAGCAACATAAGATACAGTCCTTTGCTATTTCAAAGCGCGTCCTCAGTCAGCAGAATACGACTCTAATTTAGAAAGGAAGTTAGTTTTATGTGGAGTGTAAGGAATGTCCGGTGATATTTCTTCAGTGAAATTCCCTGATTTCAAACTTAAAGCCCGATACCATTTAAGTATCCTATTTAGATTTAAATCAAGATGAGAGAGCGTTTCACTGTTAGTGCAGAGATAAACAACGTCGATTGAATTATCGATACCAACGTTGTGTATATTACGTACCTGGTTGTGAGTTTAAATCTTCAGCCAGGTCACACAAAGACCAAGCGACTTGGTCCTGGTTAGCGGTAAACCCATCTTCATTAGTACTTCCTGAAAAGGAGCACACCATTAACGAAAACCTAGGCTTAAAATGCTCGTGAAATAATTAAACTAAAACATTACTCTCGCGTTGTGGAATTTGTTATTTTCTTAGAAATACAAAAGGATTAAGGAATCGGAATAAAAACATCATCCGACAGCGTTCAGATGGATAACTCACTGTGTGGTGCTTCTTTCGTCATCTTTTGCAACACTTGATGACGAAGGGTTTCCATCTTGTAATGGTATTTTCAGACATTCTTCATTGACTACCTACAAACCAATGCAAAAATCAGGAAAAACACGAAGGAACTGATGAACCAGTGTTTAAG